TGGATTATGAAATTAATTTGAGCTTTATGCACTTGCTAAGAATCGATGAGTTAATACATTTACATTTAAGTTCTGTTAAACGACGTTTCAGGCAATGATGTTAAATCATTGTTTATTCAATTGACATCGACCAAAATACTGAAGTGATATATCGACACCTCAAATGTAACGACCTAAGCATATAACTTATTTGGGCCATTGAAATTAGACTAATTTAATTAAAACAACTCATGGCCTGATCCTTTATTCCTTGGATGACTTTTGGTGTTTGGCTCACTTATTGGTTACCTATTAGTTGCCTTTTGGGCACAATCCACGAATTAACCTAAAAGCCCATTTTCACCATTATATATTAGGAGTTTCTTTTGTATTGTGTGACACACGTTATTTGCTTAGTCTTTTTTTGAGAGATAACCGACTGCGTCTTTTCTTGACTTTTTGCTCTCCCTTTTGCAATGCTTTTTTATCTATCTCTTTTAGCCTTTGTGGTTGCGGTGTAGCTGTAATAACCTCTCATTCCCGTGTCCCTAGTGGCCAATACACAAGCAACCGGAGTTGGGTGTGGTTGTAGGAGTTTTGGGTTAGAACTTTGTTGGTGTCGATTTCGATATAGGTGATATACTGAGCCCAAAAACCTTCTTGATTATCCCACTTAATATTTGGCATCAGTACCACAGTGGTATGTGAAAATTCCCACAAAGATAGACCAAAAATCCCATTTTTCGGCCAAACCAGTGGCCGGTTGAAGAATCCAATACCAACACGTAGGCTCTGTAGGCAGAGATGCAACCAACAGTGGGGCGTGGAGACAGCGACGACGCGTAGAGTTTCCAATGGAGGTGTGTCCGGAATTGGCTGGAGAAGTTTTCTTCAGATATAATTTTTCTAACATGATTTCTAACGTTTTGGTGGTGTTAGTTTTCTGCTTCAGGTTATAGGATGAAATCTGGACGATTTTGCCCCTCGTGTTTGTGACTCAGTTTTGGGTTCGATTGGTTGCTACAGTTGTTGAGACTTTAGGGTAAATAGTGGTGGCCCTAAAGTGGTAATTTCACATCCCTCGTTATTTGCGGACTCGATAGGTTCGTTCTGGTAAATTGGCTTATCTCTTTTAATTTCTAGCACTAACGCATTATCGTGTTGGCTAACAATAGGA